TTTGGGGGGAAATAAAGGAAAAACATTTTTCCTTTATTTCCCCCCCCCAAACCAGGTCGGGGAACAGCGGGATGGCGGCGCTGCGCCTCCCCGCTGTCCCCCGAGCTTGTGGGGCTGGCCGATGTCTGCCCGGCGCGCGGGGCGCTCTGCTTCAGGGCATCCCACACGCCGGGCGGCAGGCTGCTATCCGCAGCGTGGGGAGCCCCGCAGGAACTCCCGCGGGCTCCCCAGGCTTGCTGATAGCTTCCTGAAGCCTGGAGAGCAAGAGGGGTCGGTGCGCACCGACCCCTCTCGCTCTCCAAGCTTCGGCGAAAGCCTGTATTCGCCCCATAGGACGCACACAGATTTCCCCTTCATTTTTGGAGGGGGAAAAGTGCGTCCTATAGGGCGAAAAATACGGTACACATACTAGGGTAAAGAGGTGCATCTTGGACATATGCTATAAGCTATACAGGCGACTCCCCACTAATGTTATGGACCCCACACACATAAGTGAAATCATTTAAAGTGGGGAGCACCCTCTAGGCACCCTCTCTGCCAATCTCTCTCTCTCTCTCTCTCTCTCATACAAAAAATACTGTATGTGAAAATATCCATAGCCAGAATTGAAGCTCTGGGGCTGGCAGGTGACTGGAGCGTACGCAGGAAAGAAACCGCTGCTGTACCACCCCACACATCAGCTGTTAGGCGGGGAGGTTGAGCAGCCTAAACAAAGCCCCGCTGTGCCTCCGGTCTCTTCAGGGCTTCATCCGCCCTCACTGACGTCCTCTTGGGGCTCTGTGGAGAGTCTCTTTGTGAGCCACGAGGAGTCGCCAGCTCTCTCCTGCAATTTCCAGGCATGGATTGAATGATTTAATTGTTACCCAGTGCCGTGTGTATATGTGGTTGTGCACGAGTTTAATGTGCATGAGCGGGGGGGGGCATGCCTGTAGAGTGAAGGTTCCCTATGCCCCTCTGTGGGAAATGAGCCCCCCCCCAGCTAATTGGCTCCACAGAAAATGTCCTCTCTCAGGCTGCCACTGACCAAAGTTCTGAAGACAGTAGGCCCCACTTGAGAGGGTCTAAGGCAGTGATGGCCAAACTTGGCCCTCCAGCTGTTTTGGGACTACAGTTCCCATCATCCCTGACCACTGGTCCTGTTAGCTAGGGATGATGGGAGTTTGAGTCCCAAAACAGCTGGAGGGCCAAGTTTGGCCATCACTGGTCTAAGGCATGAGTAGGCAAACTAAGGCCCGGGGGCCAGATCCGTCCCAATCGCCTTCTAAATCCGGCTCGCGGACGGTCCGGGAATCAGCGCGTTTTTACATGAGTAGAATGTGTCCTTTTATTTAAAATGCATTTCTGGGTTATTTGTGAGGGATAGGAATTCATTCATCCCCCCCAAAAAAATATAGTCCAGCCCCCCACAAGGTCTGAGGGACAGTGGACTGACCCCCTGCTGAAAAAGTTTGCTGACCCCTGGTCTGAGGGAAGCAGGTATCTGGGGTCTAAGGTATCTGGGGTCTAAGTCACTTAAGGTTTTAAGTAATAATGTGAGCAGTTTGAATTAGGCCTGGAAATGAACTGCCAACCGGTGGAGCTCTTTTAAAACAAGGGTTATGTGAAGTCTAAATGCAAAACCGCTCAGTAAGCTGGCATCTTCGGCATTTTGATGGGTGGTGCTGTGGGTTAAGCCACAGAGCCTAGGACTTGCTGATCAGAAGGTCGGCGGTTCGAATCCCCGCAACGGGGTAAGCTCCCATTTCTCGGTCCCTTCTCCTGCCAACCTAGCAGTTCGAAAGCACGTCAAAGTGCAAGTACATAAATAGGTACCGCTCCAGCGGGAAGGTAAACGGCGTTTCCGTGCGCTGCTCTGGTTCGCCAGAAGCGGCTTAGTCATGCTGGCCAGATGACCCGGAAGCTGTCTGCAGGCAAACGATGGCTCCCTTGGCCATAGCTGTCAAGTGTCCCTTATTTGAAGGGACAGTCCCTTTTTCCAGCGCCATGTCCCGCTGCTGTCCCTTATTGATGGATGTCCCTTAAATGTCCCTTAAATGATGTCCCTTAAATTTCAAAGGAAGCAGCTCCTCTCCCTCCCTCCCTGCCGGCCAGGGAGGAGGGAGGCTCCAACTGTGTTGCTTGGCTGTGTTGCTCACCCAATAAGAAGTCTAAGAACGACTGGGGGGTGGAGCTTGCATGCCTTCTGTGTGGCTAGTTAATGCAAGCTGAGGGGGTTTTGGAATGCTTGACGCCATTTTGTTGCACGTGCTGCTGCAAACCTTGCAGTGCAAAGCCAGGCCGGGGAGCCATCTTATGTTGAGGCTGCATAGGCCTTGTGGTGCATGTGATTCAGATTCTATTCAGTTGACCTCTGGTTACAAAGTTGGTTGGACAGTGTTCTCGAAGCTACCCAGCATGAGTTTGACCAGACTGCAGGAGAACAAGAAGACTGGAGTGCCTGGAACAGGTGAGGCTGCAGGTCCCTTATTTTGGCTGCTGGTCCCTTATTTTCAAGGCTGCTGGTCCCTTATTTTCAAATCTGTAAGTTGACAGCTATGCCCTCGGCCCATAGAGCGAGATGAGCGCCGCAACCCCAGAGTCGGTCACGACTGGAGCTAATGGTCAGGGGTACCTTTACCTTTATCTTTTAGCCCAGTTTTGGCCAGTTTTGGCAGAGCCCCTTTCTAGCTCCGCAACCTACATTCCTTATAATTGTTCTAGGAAATGGATTTGGGTCTTTCTGCAGGGCAAGCATGTGTTTCTCTTCCTTTTTCTTGCAATCAGACAATGAGTCTGAGGGACATTGCATCCCTCTCATTTTCAGTGGGAGTCCATCTCCTCCAAAGAAATATCATCTCTCAATGTTCTTCTGCACAGTGCCTGAATTGCTATGCTTATGTGTGAGTGGAGTGCTTGCGTACTGATTGGACAAATCCAGCGCCGTGAGTAGTGTCCCAGGAAATAAAAAAGATATTTTATGGCAGGGTCGACCACTTTCGTGTGAGCTTCTCCCATGCTCATCGCTCTTTGTTTCGGGCTTCGCCATGGAGAAGCACAGGCTGTGCCAAAAAACCTCCTCGTTTTGAGTGTGTCAGCACAATTTGGACAAAGACAATTTTGTTGCAAACCGAGGGAAGAAAGTGCCCATGAAAATGGGACAGAGACTCTAATTGCCGATTATACCCTAATGAGCACAGAATGTGTTGTACTCAATATGCATTTGAACAATGGAGTGGCAGGTGGGGGCGTTAGAGACAATAGGAGCCTTTGCAAAGCCCGGCATTCCCCCCCTCTTAAAAAAACCCTGTGTATAATTTTTGCCTTGGTTGTTCTCCACTTAATTTTGAAAAGCTACAGAAGTCTAATAAACTGCATTGGGTGAATTTGATAAAGTGGCTGAACATTAGCACGAGCAAACATTGTGGCCCATGATTTATGCAGTCGTAAAACTGGGGGGGCAACCCCCACCCCAATTTTTTTTCATAGGACATTTTGCCTGTCAATAGGATTTATTTGCACAGGGAAAGATTCCTTTTAGACTGCTGCCTTGTCTTCTGACATGCAACTTGTATTATGGTGCCTTGAATTAGTGTCTCCCCACACAAACTTCATCGGATTTTATAAGGGCAGAGTTCTGAAAATCTGTAAAACCAACAGCATGTTCTGATGGTCACTTGGGAAGCTGAAATTCGCAGCCATGCATAGACAGTACTTTTTCAGGACCAGGCACCTCAGAGATTCAGCAGATGCACTGCATTCCTGCCATGGTAACATTGCCACCGCCCAAAGAAGGCAGGTTGACAGCAGGCTTCATTCATCAAGAAGTTCAGCTGTATTCATCTGAGTCTGAATAGAGACAATGGTTTCCTCTTCCACTGCAGTTGTTAATTAACTCCACGTTACAAAGTTGATTGTTTTATCACCTGCCACTCCTGTTGTAAAGGGTGTTTAACTTACATACCTATTTTGCATGCATTCTACCTCCTACTGAATTGTCAGTATCAGAATTATTTATTTATTTTTTCACATTTTATTTCACTTTATGCATTTGATGGAGTGATTCCATGGTCTGGACTGTGCAAGGAAAGGAGTATTTTTTTCCATCCCCTCTTGGCCTGCCATAGTGCACCAATATCCAATAGTCCCAAGGGTTTGGGGTGTGTTTCCTGGCCAGAAGAAATGCAAGACAGTACAGTGGACGCTCAGGTTGCAAACGTGATCTGTGCAGGATGCACATTCACAACCCGTCTGCGCATGCGCAGGTTGCAATTTGGTGCTTCTGCGCATGTGCAAAGCGTGATTTAGCGCTTCTGTGCATGTGCGACCACCGAAACCCGGAATTAACCCATTCCAGTACTTCTGGGTTTCGGCGGTCCATATCCTGAAAAAACGCAACCTGAAGCGTCTCTAACCGAGGTATGACTGTACTATTATCAAAGGGTGTTTATGTGCTACAGTTCCACAGGAAAAGAAAAAGTAAATATTTCAGCTTTCTGAGAACTTCAGGGCTTTTTTTTCATTAAAAAACAAACAAAAAACAAAATGCAGGTTTCTAGCCCTTGTGGTTGAAAAATTGGGAAGTCTGTGGACCATATTTCTTGAAAACTCTGAAGCTAGAGGTGTGGCTGACTGCAACTGAGCCTCTGGTTATTTCAGGCGAGGATTCCATGCATACACCAGGGGTTCCCAAACTTGGATCTCCCGCTGTTTTTGGATTACAACTCCCATCATCCCTAGCTAGTAGGATCGGTGGTCAGGGATGATGGGAACTGTAGTCCAAAAACAGCAGGAGACCCAAGTTTGGGAAACACTGCCATACATAGTTCCTTGGCTCCTACTAAGACCAGCAAAGCAAGAGTGATCTATACTGTAGGCCTGCAGTGCTGATGCCAGGAAACACATATATATTGAGGGCACAGAAGATGCAAAGTTCATTTCTGGGAGGTGGCAATATTTGTGAAATAATGTGAAACCTTGAGGTAATTGCATGGGCATGGGAGTTGCTCTGGTGCCACCCTGCGTGCGCCCGGCTTGCAAATATTAATTTTCCACTCTTCTTCTTGTTGGCAAAGGTTATCGAAGAAAATTGTACTGGGATCACTTTTTCAAAGGTTCTGTAAAACAACTATTAATAATAGCAGTGTTGCCAAAGAAAAAGCAGAAAAGCAAGCATCTATTGCAAGATCATTCTGTAAAGGCATTAATTAAAATACACACATTATTGCTGTGCCACTGTGGTGTTGATGATTTGTACCTTCTGTAGAAGTTATTTGGGGGGGAGTGTCTCTGTAAATAACAGGTTTTTGTTCTGAGATGCGGTGCTCTCGGCTGCATTACAAATCCCTGAAACTCTCTCTCTCTAGCAAAATCTGAACTAATGTGTTGGCAATACCTTTGAAGTCCTACTTAATAAATCTCCGATTTGTCTCATTCTTCATATTGCCCACCCCTTTGGCTTTCAAAGAGCAGGAGGCAGGGTCTCCTTGGAGGCTGCCATCGGTTCTGCTCTGTGGCTCTGGCAAGAGGGATTACTATAGGGGCAAGGCGACGAACCAGCTCCTTCTCCCACAAAGCATTTCCATTTTGACATGCCAAGTTCCTAATGTTCCTGTGCAAGAATGCCCCAAGGTCACTTGTATGCTGTGGCTTCAGGGTGACAGCAAACATGCCACCAAGTTACTGGGGTTGCCAATATAATGACCCAGGACGTTCCTTTTTCGTTTTTGTCTAAAAGGCAAAATGCAACTTTCTGCGAGGATTTCTGTGTCTCATTAACTAAGCAAATGAGGTCGGGCATTGTCAACACCGGCTTTGTTTTGCAAATGAGACGGGGTGCTTGCGTGTTGAAATTAGAACAGCTAAAGGAATGTCAGAGTAGCCAAACTTTTAATTCCTTCCTCTCCCCACCCCCTTTAAGTCTGCTATGTCCAATTTTTTCCATTGTTCCTTCCGTCCGCCAGTCCAAAGTGTCGTTATTTATTACATGCCAATTGGTCTGTCTCCAAAGACCCATGTTGCAAGGCTGGAACCATGTTCTCTCACACACCTGTTAAAAATAGCTCTTTGGAGTTCCCTTGGCTACTAAATCTTAACAGTCAGGTCAGATTAATGGTCCAGAGGAATGTTGACGCCATTTCTACATCTCTTCTAACTGGTACAAATACACAACATCTCAGTTGCTTGCCCTTGTTTGCAGGCTGGCCGTGTTGTCGTACTATTGCTTCCTCTTTTCACAACAGCCAATGAAAAAGAAGGGACACCCTCGCTGAGTTTCAGGTTTGCTAAGCAAGAGAACCGAACCAAACCTGGAAAGGAAAGTGAGGCTAGATACTGGGTTCCTGACAGCTGGACCTCTATGTTCAACTACATATCAGAGCCAGGCCCTTTTGGAGTCTGTTCCCAGATTTAATTGGTCTGCTCAGTGCCTGATGGGTGCTGTCCCCATTGTGGTATCATGGTCTGATTAGGACGTGGAAGATCAGGGTTCGAGTCCCCATGCAAACATGGAGCTCACTGGGCCAATCACAGTCTCTGAGTGTTATGTACTGAAGTTCTCACCCTGGGCCAGCAGGGGGATACTGTAGATAGTTATGCAAATGAAGGATTGAAAGTGATGTTCAGTGATTGGATGGATACTGTAGATAGTTATGCAAATGAAGGATTGAAAGTGACGTTCAGTGATTGGATAGTTTTAGAAAGTTGTTACAGTAATGAGGTTCTGGAGCTCTATATAAGCAGGCTGACTGAGCCCTTCAGTTCAGTTCTGTTCCAGCTTACAAATAAAGAGCTGCTTTGGAGAAATCGCTGTGTCGTCTGATATGTTCACCCACAACTTAACGCTGAGCCTAACCTACCCCCAGCGTGAAGAATTGTATACACCACCTTGAGCTCTTTGGAGGAAAGGTGGGGTATGAATATTAAGAAATGAAACTTCCCTAACACTTTCTGCTTAAGTGATCTAGTTTGAAGAGCGGGAGAAGGCTCTCCCTCTTAGGCCCTGGGTAGGACTTGTTCCATCTGGAAACAAATCGGGCACAAGGTTCTTTAGCTGATTGCCCAGAGTTCCACAAAATATTTTTTGGGGTATGTCAGCCCATTACTACACCATATCAGCAAGCTTGCAAGGAGTCCAACATACTATGTAGGTCAACTTTTTGCCCAAGAAGAGGCTTACCTGTACAGAAAGCACCCCTGGCAGCTGTTTTCACTAGTACTAGTAAGAGTGTTCTGAATTTGCTAAATGTTTTGGTCCTCCCACCCACCCATTTTTTCCAGACCCTTGATCATCTTGGTTGTCCTCCTCTACATACATTCCAGCTTGTCAATAGCCGCCTTAAATTGTGGCACCCAGAACTGGACACAGTACTCTGGACGTGGTCTAAGGCAGAATACAGCAGAACTATTATTTCCCTTGATCTGGACACTATGCAGCCTAGTAGAGCACAGAGGTCAAACTAAATCTGGATCTGGGTGTGAATTTGGAAAGACCAGATGGGCACATCTGGAATTTAGAGAAAGAGACATGGGTACCAGTCACAAAATGGCTACATGGAGCTGTGTAAGGGTAGGGCAAACAAACCTACCCCAAGCAGGAACTGAGCAGGAAGAATAAATGGTACAAATGCATTGTGGATTTTTGAGGGGATATTGACTGAGAACTTAGAATAATACAATTGTAGAGTTGGAAGGGACCACGAGGGTCATCTAGTCCAACCCCCTGCAATGCAGGAATCTTATGCCCAAGGTGGGGCTCGAACTCATGGCTAAGAATCTCATGTTCTACCAACTGAGCTACCCCAGCAAGCTCTTGTGCAGGTTCTGTAGGAGATCCTAGCTGCATTAGTGAGCCCTGATCTAGGTCAAGCTGAAAGTGGAGCGAGGCTTTCTGAACTGGGGCAGTTTAAAAATCCGAACTCCCCCAATTCTGAATTTTATCCCCTCGCTATAAATGCCCCATTGAGACCCTTTCAAAATATGATTGAGGAGCATTGCACTTCCTCATAGCACCTGCCTACATCTTTTAAAAACATAGCTTTGCATCTGGAGAATTGTCTGTCTAATTGTTCCTTACTCGTCTTGCCCAAGGGCAGATAAAAAGTTGAAGAGGATTTTCTTTCTGTGCAACTGGTGTTAGCGCAAGGTTAGGAAAGGGCAGACAAGGTCACACTCAGATCTCCTTCCAACAGGCCGGTTCAAGTTTAACTGTGGACAAGCCCCGGGAGCCAATAAGGAATCAAATAACTGAATCTTTTTTATTTTATTTTATTTTAAAAGGTCATATCGCTGCTGCTGCTGCTTCTTTTACAGCCGTCTTTCATATGGAGTGCGAGGCATTTAAAATTCTCATTGTACGTTCTCATGAGAACACTTGTAATGAAAAGGGGAGCTTGCATATTATAAATCCATTCTCCCGGTAATAATTGTAACTAGAACAGTTACTGCTACAAACGTAATTCGTTAATTCATCCATATGACAACTTGAGAGCTGAAATACAAGTTAGGGCACTGCACAAGCTCACTTGGGCTCTAGAAGTTTATCATACATATCAGTGGTGCTACTGCCTGGAGGGTTTTTAGAGCTAAAACCAACTTAGCAGCGTTGGAAAGCTGAAAGCTTTGGGAACTGTCGAACACAGTAGTATCATATGCACTAGCTGTGTATGTGGCAGGGAATGAGGAATTGCAGACTGGAATGGCTTGCAAAACAGAACCAATCATTGCTGCACTGTTGTATGCAGATGAACCCCATGGAAAACATCACTTAGATGCAGCCTTACCCAATTTAGTACTAGGGCTGGGTGATATACCAATAAATCACCCAAAACCGGTTTGAAGTCCATATTGTGATATCGGTTTGATAGTTTTTGACCTGGCTATATATTGTGAATCATGTTAGGGCTAAGCGATATATTGTCCAAACCCAGTTTCAAGCCCATGTCATGATATTGGTGTCAGAATTTTTGACCTGGCAATATATTGTGAATTATGGGGTGTATGTGTGTGCGTGCACACACGCACTATGCAAACATCACAATGTGGGGGGAAAGCTGTGAAGCCAGCCAATGTCTCTACATAGTTCTATCCTTATTTCAGACATTCTGGTTTGTTTTTGTTTTTTAAATGATATTTATTAAAGTTTCAAAGAAAAAATTGCATATATAAAAAAAAGGAAAAGAAATAAAAAAGAAAAAAAATACAAAATACAGAAAAAAGATAGAAAACACTTAAAAAAACAAAAACACATCGATCATTCCATAACTTACATTTCATTTCCTTACTTCCCTGACTTCCTCACACCTCCCGTTTTTGTATTCCAGTTCTATTAGTTAATTCAGCAATTCCTTTCCCTCTTTGTTTTTGTCTTAATCCTTTAACTTAACATATTATAACTTTAAATTCTCATCTGTTAACAATCCATTTGTACATACACCTTTATAACATTGCTGCTAAGACCACTTAATTTCATTCTGACATCATTCTAACATTCATTAATTTTGCAATGTTTCTGTAAATAGTCTTTAAATTTCTTCCAATCTTCTTCCACCGACTCTTCTCCCTGGTCTCGGATTCTGCCAGTCATTTCTGCCAGTTCTATATAGTCCATCACCTTCATCTGCCATTCTTCCAGAGTGGGTAAATCTTGTGTCTTCCAATACTTTGCAATAAGTATTCTTGCTGCTGTTGTGGCATACATAAAGAAAGTTCTGTCCTTCTTTGGCACCAATTGGCCGACCATGCCCAGGAGAAAGGCCTCTGGTTTCTTCAGGAAGGTATATTTAAATACCTTTTTCATTTCATTATAGATCATCTCCCAGAAAGCCTTAATCCTTGGGTATGTCCACCAAAGGTGAAAGAATGTACCTTCAGTCTCTTTACATTTCCAACATTTATTATCGGGCAAGTGATAGATTTTTGCAAGCTTGACTGGTGTCATGTACCACCTGTATATCATTTTCATAATATTCTCTCTTAAGGCATTACATGCCGTAAACTTCATACCTTCATAAACTTCATTTCAGACATTCTGATGTATATTGCAATATTTAGGTGGTGATATATCACAAAGTTGAAAACCAGGTCTCATCCAGCCCTACCCAGTACCCTCAAGATCAGGGTGACCCAACTTTTCACACCAGGTGAGCTGTGTGAGTACTTTGACATGGAACCTGTGGGCCACACACTGACTTGTTGCATACAATTTCCAGTTCTTCAGGGTTCCACTGGGCAGGTGATGTTGGCTGAGACCAATAGGAGTTGGTGTCCTACTAGACCTGGAGAGCCACAGATTCCCCATTCCTGCCATACCTGGAAATGCTGTTGCTGTTAGATGGCACAGCAGCTCTTGTTATCCTTGTTGGAGAAGGCAACCGAGGTGGGAGAACTTGGGGTTATACTTGGGGTGCCCAGATGTCTTAGGACATCACTAACATTTTCTCACAGCCCTTCTGCATTTAGCTTGAAGTTGCCAGCTTCAAGTAATATGACAACCTTAACTATGCTACAGTTCTGCAGAAAGCTTCTCTGGGGGGTTTCCATTTTCTGCAAGCCTTTGTGATTCCAGCTCTGTTAAGACCAGCTTGAAATAACATTAAAACATATTTTTTGATTTGTTGTCTTCCAGGCAGATGGCTAATTTAGCTTGCCTGGTCTTGATTTCCTGTTGGACGTATCTCAGCGAGGTTCCCTAATGCAAATACCCATAACTTATTTTTGTACTGTATAGCTTAAAACAAAAACAAAAAAACCCACACACATTTGCAAGGAGATGCACAAATAATAGAAATGCAATTTCCAGTTGTAAATGGTCCATTAGAAAATGTGGATGTGTTTTCCTGGGGGACATTGCTACCCTGGAACGGATCCAGTTGAGGTAGTTGCAATAACTGATAAATCTTCACGGCGTTCTTATCTTTGTGTGCTTCCCCCCCTTTTTGGTGCTGCTTTCGTATATCCTATAAGACACAGATACTATTACATGCCTTCTGGGCACAAAACTTATTGCCTTCAGTTTAGAAATGGAGTGGAGAGAAGGATTATTTGATTTCAAAGGTTAGAGGTGTCCAATATTTTGGGCAATCATCCTTGATATTCTCTTTATCTATCAGAGGTAGGATTCCCTCATCTTTTACCCAAACATCCTGATGGAGTCTTAGAAATTGAACATAGTTATGGCAGCTTACTCTAATCATGGTTTCATTGTGGTCTACACATGGGACAATGTAATCCCTGCCCGCCCCCTCACTCACACACACACACAGAGAGATACAGTAGACACATAGCAGCCATGGAAAGAGACACATGGAAGACAGCCCAACGGCAGGGATCTATTTGTTTTTAGCGACATTTACATTCAGTGTTTCCACCAAGGAGCTAAAAAGCGCCATATTTCGATCTCCCCCTCCCATTTTGTTCTCCCAACAGCCCTGTGAGGTAGGGTAGGTTGAGAGATTGTCGTGAGCCCAATGGACATGGCAGGAGATTGGAGTGAGATTGTGGTGTCAAACTCACTTCCCTGCTCTGTTCATTTGACTGTCTATAATTTATTTCATTTCATTTGTGAATCACCTCCTATGAAACATCCCAGTATGCATCTATCTATATCTATCTATCATCTATCTGTCTATCATCTATCTATCTATCATCTATCTATCTATCTGTCATCCATCTCTCTGTCTATCTATCTATCTATTGGCAACTAGCAGGATGGTGTGGGGAAGCCCTCTGCAGAGGTCCTGGGGTAGTGCTAGAGGAGGCATTTGATTTTGTTTGTACAGTGGTACCTTGGGTTACAGACGCTTCAGGTTACAGACGCTTCAGGTTACAGACTCCACTAACCCAGAAATAGTACCTCGGGTTAAGAACTTTGCTTCAGGATGAGAACAGAAATTGCGCAGTGGCGGCGCGGTGGCAGTAGGAGGCCCGATTAGCTAAAGTGGTACCTCAGGTTAAGAAAGGACCTTCTTAACTAGAGGTACCACTGTATTTAAATGAGAAGCTGCCCAATTCACACGTCTAGAGTCAATACATGAACTGAAGGACTGCTGTCCTTTGAAATGTGCACTCCTCCGAGTTTTGTGATACAGTTCTCCAACCAAACAATATGTGCAAAATGCATGTTAGGGTGGAAATGTGCACGATACTCATACATTTAGGAGAGATTGCTGGGGGTGGCGGAATGTATATTAGTCAAAACCACGTACAAATGGAGAAATTTGCAATAAAATGCTGAGAAGTTTTTATAAATAATATTAATTTTCAAATTGCTATGGAAAAGTGGAGATCTGAATTCAAAACTGAGGGTGGGGGAATGAGAAACTGTGAGATCAGAGATTGACAGATTCCTCCATCCTTATCCTGGCCAGCTGTGGCCAGTTTCAGGAAATAGAACCATAGAGTTGGAAGGGGCTCTGGGGTCATCTAGTCCAACCCCCTGCAATGCAGGAATCTCAGCTAAAGCATCCATGACAGATGGCCATCCAACCTCTGCTTAGAAACCTCCAAGGAAGGAGAGTGAGTTCCCTCATTTTCTTAAGCACTCTGCTAGACTAGAGCTTTTGTTTTAATGACTAGAACCTGCCCTTATTCTATGAAAAAAGGAAGGTTAGAAATAAATATTTAATCTTAAGTGTTTATTTTAGGACTAAAAATAATATTAAGTATCCAGAGCGTTTGTTTCTAAAAGCACATATTCATTTTAAACAAGTTCAGTCTGAACACTGTGACCTGCTGTATCCATTGCAGAATGGAAATGGAATCGGTTGGCGGGTGTTTCTGGTCTCTTCTGGGAGTGATCTGTATATTGCTTTCTCCCTCCCTCGTCCGTTCTCCGAAAGTGTTGCAATAAAAAATTTCTGCAGTTTTGACATCTCCTGATGCTATTATTAAAATTCCAGGCCAAACAAGAAATAAATTAGCATCCAGGAACCACAGATTAATGGAACACTAATAGCATTCTATTGTACAAAAAAAGGTCACTGTATAATTAGGAAATGCTTAGTGCAATGTCAAAGCACAGTTGAGTTTGGTTTAAAACAAGGTGACAAATGCCAGTGCAGAGCAATCATTGGGAGAGAGAAAAAAATGATAATTTATGCACAGGCCTGCCCTTGCGACTAGTTTTCCTCCAGCAGCGTATGCTTGTTGATGCAGCCCTGGGAGCTGAGGGGAGGCTGAATTGTTAAACTAGGAAAAAAACGGAAGCAGCTGCCGTGTGCCGGGCTTGAACTGAACATCCAAGTGCAGCAGGAACAAAGACCGATGCTGAGGTTCTGCACAGGTCCCAGTTTGCTATTTTAGCAGAAATGTGCAATAATACAAAGTTTACAGCTTCGACATCAAAGCAACGGCAAATTAAAGTCTGGGCTTTCGGGGAAGCCTATGGTGAAGCTTATTGCGCATGACGGGTAAAAGGCTTGCCTTGGCGACCACAACAGGCAACATGTGCACAGAGCAAGTCAAATGGAGCCATTGAGCAGTAGCCTGGTGGTAGGAAGGGGTGTCATGCTTTGCAGGCACGTTTTTCCAGGGTGACACTTGCATGCACACCACAGGTGATGGTAATTACCCGTTGCCTAACCAGCAATTTAATGCAAACTCTTGACTGGCAAATACTTTTTTGCAGGGCTCATGAAAGGGCTGGAAAAGTCAGTCATGCTAGATTTCCTTGCAAACTGGGGCTGCCACTCCTCTGGGGGTATGAAGTATCTTAGTCACCATAAATTTCTTTATTGCTGTTACGGACTCCTAGCAGAGATGGATATAGGGCAACACGACGGGTTCTGCCACACTGGGCACCAAACCTAGGGGGCACCGCAGGGCATCACAACTATGATCTAGGTGAGAAGCAGGGGAGCCCAGGGCACTGCTGAAATTTGAAAGACAAAAGTCCACCCCATGTCCTAGGTGTGATGGCCTGGGATTCGGACTCAGAGGCTGAACCTGAGGAATCCCAGCCTGCACAGGAGTCCCCGCCTCCAGAACCAGCTGAGCCGGGGCTGGGGCCTGAGCCTGAAGGGTCCTCACCTGTGCTGGATCCTCAGGTTCAGGCACTAGCTGAGTCTGCCCTGGCCCCTGAGGTGATGGAGGGCCCATTGCCTGCAGGTGCTCCACTCTCAGCCCCGTCAGGGGAAGCTGAGGTTGCCTCTGGGTCCCTCCAGCCTC